TACTTTATCGCATTTTAGGGTATTTCTTCTTAGATGTAACAAATGGCGAGGATATTTAGCATAGAGACCTATTTGGGTCCTTTGTTAATGCGTTACATAGGAAAGTATGTTAAATTGCGCGATGACCAATTTCAACTCTCGCTCTGGGGTGGTGATGCTGTTCTAAATTATGTGGAGTTGCAATATGACATTTTCGAGGATCTAATGCCTTTGCCAGTGGGATTTAAATCTGGCCACATTCATGAGTTGCGCATTCAGGTACCGTGGACCCGTCTCGGTTCCTCCAGTATTGTCATCACCCTTAATACTGTGGAGTGCGTGCTTGTCTTTAAGCGTCCCGGTGAACAGCGGCAGCGGCGCCGATTAGAGGCAGACACCTTGCCGCTGTCTGACTCGCCTCAGCCGCCTAGTTACCTCCTGTCCTATCTCACTCGCATCTGGTCTAACATTGAGGTCGTGGTAAAGAATCTTATTATAAAGTTTGTTGAGGATGACGCTGTTATTTCCGTTAATATCCGGTCACTCGACTGTTTTCCTACTCTTTCCAACTGGCAGCGTGGTGTGGAGTCGCAGTGCAGCGGCAACTTTTGTCTTCATCGTCTTCTCAGACTCACTGACATGACCCTTTGCATCGATCAATCTGACGCTAAAGGACATATCAGTACCTATCAAGATCCTGTAATTTACCGCTCTAGCTTTGACATTCGACTGCAAACAGTATTTACTCAGAATAATAAAGGACTGGCTTCAATTTGTGTGGCGAACCTCTTTCATTCCCAGTCAGTAGAGGTCAATCTTAATCAAGTTCAGGTGCCTCTTATCACGCGAATCTTTGAGATTTTGGTTGCGCTTTCAAATGCTACCATTAAATGGGAGGTGCTTTCGGATGGCACGTCGGTCGAGAAACAGCAAAATGATGGTCAGCATAAGGACGCTGTAGTAGGCATCAATGAGGAAGATCTTGCTCGGAATCAGTCATGGTCTCAGTGGGCCTGGTCATTTGTTCCTTCTTTCCCTTCTTTGTCTTCCACTTATTCTGAGGATGACAGTTGCGATTTTGATCAGAACGATACTTCTTTCGAATACATTGGAAAATTAAGGATGTGTGAAGCACGTGCCGAATACGTGAGACTCCTCTATGAGGATGGACTTGCTTCGGCTGAGGAGGCTGCCAAGACGGCTCAGTATCGACGCGGATGTCTATATCGTTTACGAAATTACAGAAACCCTTTGCCAGCTCTTGTTTTAGGTGTTCTAATGAAACGAATTCAATTTCACATCAAGGTAATTTGTCGTTCTCATCACGGGATTTTTTTCATAGGTTACGCATCAGATGTGTAGATCAGAGTCAAAGATTTGTAAATTTTTGACCACAAAGAATCTGCGTTTTAATGAATCTACGTTGAATTTATTCACGATCACCATTGAGGTTGGTTTTTATCTGCAGTGTACCCTAATCAATGTGTGCGATGTATTCTGATTGAAGTTTTTGCAGAATCTTGGATTTCAATCCGTTAAAGACAGCGGACACTTTACCAGTCTCCAAGTCGGCATTGGATTGCTGCGAATAAGCCCACTTGGTGAGATTTGTCCATGTGGCAAAAAGTACACTGCGGTACTTTCGGTACGTGTATGCCTGCGATAGTTTGCCTTTAACAAGTAAAACTATTATGCAACCTTCTCTTGTGAGTTTTATTGAACCGAAGAGCATGAGAAAAGAACAACCCCATCAAGAATTAGTCTTTAAATGCATCACTACACTATCTATACAAGAACAGGCAAAGGTTTAATTGACTGAAGAAAGTTGCACGTTCTTTATCAATGTGAAATTTGAACAAGTAATGTGTTTGCTTGGCAGTCATTTCCTTACCGTCTGGTTGGTCTTAGTCTCTTGATCACTTTTTTCTGCCTGTTGTTATCGGAGCTCTGGATCGTCCTTATTTTCACCTTTCAGCTTCCTGAAGGGGAAAACTGTGTTAAAATGAGCTAGGTATTTTCATGCATTTGTTTCTACGATTTCGCTATTACTTTCAGCCTCACGATCTGCTGTCAATTCACTCAACGTCCGGTCTCCTGGCTGGCAGTGCCAGTTCCGACCCTTTGATCAAGGCCTTTTGTGGTCTCTTTGGTACTGAAATATCAGACAATCTTTGTCACCCAAACCAAGATGTGGTTGATTCGCAACCTTCGTCGCCTAAATCATTTGTGCTTCCTCCGTTCTGTAGAAAGGATTACCATTCGACTTACGGATCTGACTATCCGCAGCGCGAGCTACCTCTTGCGCTGTGGTTTGGGTCGGTCTTTTGCCAAGAGGCCGACGAACAATCTATCGAAGGTATCATCTTTTTTGTCAGTATCCAGGAGTGGTGTTGAAATCTTGGCTTAGATACTTTTTTTAATCAAGCTCATTGTGAGATTATCTGATTTACCAAGCAGAGCCCTTTTTAGTAAGATTTAATGCATTCGTACTACACTGTTGTAAGTTAAAGTGTTCCAGCCTAATAATTTTACTCTTGCTTGGTTGTTTTTTTCAGTGATTTATTATATGCATTGAGATTTACTACTTCATGCGAATTAGTCTTATAATCGTCTTTGGGTC